CCTGGTTAGGGAGCACCAGCTGCACCATCCACAGCCGACATCGGGATCATGGAAAAAGAGCCAGGAGATGCTGAGTTACAGGTGTGGAAAGCTGCCTGGCACACCAACGTAACCAGACACATCCCAGGAATGCGCAGAAACCACATGACACATGATTCTACTATGTCCCTGGGACCTGCCTTTTTCTTAATTATCCACAGATCATCAAGCTTTAACCCTGACATTGCTATTCTTTTTGCAAGAATCGTTGGAGACTCCATGCTCTGCTTGAAGCCTGAAGGCACATGGCAGTGCAGAGTTTCCGTTAACTTTTGACGGCAAGAGCCTTCATTAGTTTTGCCAGAGACACCTTGGCAGGGGTGGCAGTGGTATTGCAGCAGGAGAATTAGCTGTTATTCCTTCCTGAATTAGAGCAGACATTCTGCCGCTTTTCTGGTTGCTGAATTGCAGAGCAGGTAGGCACAAGGGCTGCTTATCAGCCTGGCTTCACAAGGACATGATACACTTTAATTGTCCATTTCCTGCTAAGTTCAAAAGTCTGAGATGCAATTAAGTTCAGAACATGCTCCACAGCTGGCTGAGGAAAGGTGTTGTGTAAACAACCCTTGAGGGAACAAGCACCAAAACACTCCTATATGCTGTTGGCAGCAGCAGCGGGCTCTGTGGTGTCCATCAGCAGTGCTGTCCCCTACCGATGAGGGGACGTACGGTCTACAGGAGAAAGACATTAGTGGTTTTAGTCAGTGTAATGAAGGAAGATACTGAGGAGATGAACAGGACGAGCCTCCAGGAAAACTAGGCTTCACCCACTCTCCAGCTCCCTGGGCAGCTTTTGATTTTAACACATCACTTTAGTTCTAGGGTTTGTAGTGATAGTGGAAATGAGCTGAGGGAATTCGGAGAAGTGGGGCTGAGGAATTTTCCACAGCAGAATCGGTGCTTCCTCTCAACCCTGAAACCAAGGTACTCAACACGCACATAACCCAACTCCAAGGTACTCAACACACACATACCCAACTCCAAGGTACCCAACACTCAGATACCCAACTCCAAGGTACCCAACTCCAAGGTACTCTTGACCTTTGAGGGTGCCCATAAGACTTGGTAAGGTTATGGCTGAGAGCATGTCTCCGCTTACAGTCCTGCGCTGCCTTGAAGGCCACCAACACCTTCTTCAGGTTTTGAGGGCCTTGGGGTGTGACGAGGGAATAACACATGTATCACAGAGTCCTGTCTTTCCAACACCCAGGAGCTTAAGAGGAATGCTATTTAGAGGTTCTGCACTTGAATAACTGAGTTGTACACTTAAAGGACTCAGAGAGAGATTGACAGGGCTTGTATCTGGGCCAGGAAGCTCATCCTCTCCCAGCAGTGCCACAACATAGAGCTAATACTCCACAAATCAATTTCGAGATAAGCCTGTTGGTATTTTTATTTTAAAAAATTATTTCAAGCACCCTTAAGATTACACAAACATTTTCACAGAGTAGAATTTTGAGTATGCTCAGATACTGTTTTACAGCCATTAAACACAGATTTCTTTCATGAAATATATTGCCTGTACTTAACTCTCAGCTTGTGCAACTGGCTTATAAAACGTATCAGACTCCCTCTTCATGTTGCTGTGATGCCTCTGCAGAGCAATGCTGTCTCCAAACTCATCTAAGCATGGATTTAGAGGCTGAGATTGCTGCTGTCCCTGGGATACCTAATGCCAATGGAAAAGGTGAAGAATGAAAGCAGTAAGAATGAGATCCTGCAAATGGCTTTTGCTCCCAGGAGGCACCTGAGATCTTCCTCTGTTGTTGTTATAAGAAAGGCACTGAAGAGCGAGAAACCCGGTATACCAGGAGAACATCAGCAAGTAGTCCAGACCTCCTGATCTTGGATGATGCTTTGCTCCTGCAACTCTTGGGCAAGTCAATGGGAGACAGAGGTCTACCCAGTCACTTCAGGTTTGGTCCTTTGGGAAGATTACTGCTTCCTTCTGTGTATTGATACTGTGATGGATTATTTTTAAGTTATTCCCAAAGTCAACCCTGTATGACCAAATCATATTTGAAGGCCTATTTATAAAAAAAAAAAAAAAAAAAAAGAAGAAGAAGAAGGAGGAGGAGGAGGAGGAGGAGGAAATGTGGCACTTCAGGCCAAATTCAGGCATTTCAGTGTGAGCATTTATTTTTTTCTGTATTTTGACTAGATGGTGTCTGAAGAACAGCTTCCTATGTAGCTCTGCCCACAGCAATCTCAATACAAAAGGATGACCTGGTATTTAATCCTTTGAGTGGCTGAATTCAAAGCCAGACTCTGGGTCAGGATGGTGATACTCCAAACAGATGTGAAATTATTTCAGAGAGTATGAAAAACAAGCTTCCCTCAGGACAATAGTTATCCCCGTGAGACTTCAGGAAGTTCAGAAAATAAAAGGCCCCATAGATCTATACAAAATTCTGTTTGCTGCAAGAAACAAAAATCCCCACAAGCAAACTCCAAGCTGGAACATCTCCTCCAAAGCTGCCATGAGCCATTTAGGTAGTCATCATCCATAAAAACCATAGAGTGGAGAAGACAGAAAATCCCATCTCATCTCCTGGATTAAGCTGTATCTTTTAAATCTTTCAGGTCCCTGCTGCGTAATTTAACAATTATGACTGTGTTTTATGACTCCACAACCTAGGATTTCCAGGTAGCCCCATCTTTATGCAGCATGTAGCTGAGTGTGCAGCACGATCCAGATGGATCCAAACCACTTTTCCAGGCTCTGGGGTGCACGGCCCCGTAGTGTCTCCATCAGACCCAAGGAGGCTGCAGCACAGTGCCTTGCTCCGCGCTGAACCCCCTCCTCTGCTCCTTACTCCTGTGCAATATGGGGACACTTGGCTGCCTGGCCTGTGAAGGGCAAGGAAATTGCCTTTTCTCCACTACACTCACTCATGCAGGCTTTGACATGAGTCTAGCTCAGTGTACTTATTACTCTTCAGCTGTTTTATTTATATCAGCAATAACAAGCTGAGATAATGTAACTGCAGCTGCTTAAGACTACTGGGTGCTTCTACACTACTCCTTCCCACACCATTGGTGCATCCCATCTCCAGACATAAATCTTTCATTGCTTTACTTACTACAGCTATTCCTCTTCACATCGGCTTGACAACTGAGTAAGGGAGGCTGGACTGCAAGTCAAAGCCCATACAGCATCACCCTTCCTCACCCAGTGCTCAGCCCAGGAGAACTCAAACAAGATGAGCAGCAAGAGCTAGGCACACTTCCTTTGCTCTTGGGAACCCTCAAAAAACAGCCCCTGGAAGACTAACAATGCCTCCTCAATTCCCAAAGCACCGCAAGATTTCCCTGCCCATCATCAACCACTGCTGCTTGGGTTTGCTTCTTCCCTGCTACCTTGAACTCCACTTGGAGAGTGTTGTCCAGAAGAGGTGAAGCTCCTCCTTGACACACAAGTGCTCCATGTCATGGACATCTGGTTCAATGCGCGCTGCCTTTGAAGGGCAGAGCCTCTATCTAACCTGCACTGAGCACATCCAACCCTTCTGTTGCTCTATGGCCCATTTCCTTTTCCCTGCCTGAAGCCAAGGTGTGACCTGTCCTGAAGGACATTTGTTCCTTCTTAGGACCTCTGTCTAGGAAAACTCCTTCTGTTCCTTTCATATATTTGCTCCGTAAAAGGCAAGGTAACTCACTTCCATCCTTTATGGTCATGGTTTTAAATATTTCTTTCGTTCACAAAACTAGAAGGATGGCCAGGAAAATCAGCCAAGATAATGATTGTCAATAATATGCCAAATACGTGTAATAAATTAAAAGTATTTAAAGCCATAGCAAGGCTTCATTATTATGATGATAATTTGTGATCCTCATTACAGAATAATTGCTTTTCAGTATGAGTAAAACAAGGGTAATCCTTTCTTCATGCCATTGGAAATGTAGAACCATTTGATTTGATTTCCCCTTGGTACTCTATTGCTTCATTTGGCACTCAGCCTTGCAAACTCTAAAGCAGGACCGGGTCTGCACACTGTAGAATAATCCCAAGGTTTAT